CATCAATCTATTTGCTTTTCCATCTGTCTTACTCTCTGTTTATCTATCTGTCTATAAAAAGCAACGGTCATTGATACCTGATACAACGAACCTCCTCAACACGGCCATCTTAAGGCACTCAGCCGCCATATACAGGGTCTACGAAGCGATAAACCCTCCTGGTAGAGGACATGCTTCTTCGAGACTAAACAAGGCTGTCCAGTAACGAAAAAGCAGCCGCTACTTTGGTACTTACACGAGCTTTTTTCTTTTTCTTTTTTTTGTTGTTTTTTCTTTTGTTTTTAGTTTTATGTAACTTTGGCTCTACGCAAAAAAGCGTGGCAAAGAACCTCACGAAGCCGCACCGGCGACAGCACGAAGCACCAAGGCGGTTAAAGCCACACATGCTTTAGACAATATTACTTTTCACAAGAGTAAAAAATAAATGCCGAAATGAAAAAAAAAAAAAAGCATCAAGGGCGTCGATACAACGGGCCTTCCGAGCTACTTCGGTGAAGATACACTTTCATTACCCTTGCGCAAAAAAAGAAAAAAGAAAAAACCTCGGCATGTCGACCACGCGCCGTAACCAAAGCCGGGTACACGGCGTTTATTATGGTAATGACACGCCGCCCCTATTAACGCTGACGGCGGCTCCTCTCTGCTAGACGAGTCTCGTCGGCGCTAAAAACAACACGCGGAGGCACGCGCTTACTTTATCGTGCGCGGCGCCTCGCCATGCCGCGCTAATGCGCTTGCCGTGAAACCCGAACTCCCACATACCGAAGTCAGTAACCTCGCGTAGCGACAGCGGGGAACTATCCGCTCGCTCCCGCTGATAGGATTACGATGTCCACCGTGCTCTCTCGCTCGGCCTCCGCCTGCTCCCAGAATTTACACGCGTGCCCGAAGCGCGTTTAGCTGCTGGCACGAGATATTCGTCTAGCACCAGATGGGGCTCGTCGTCGTTGACCGGGGGGGAATAATAGTCGGAGCAGTTCCTTGACGACGTTGCGTTGTACTCTTTTCATATAAAACCGTTAAAAAAAAACAAAAAACACGTAGCTGTGTACTTTCCAGGGAGGTAACGGTGGAAAAGGAGCGCGGCACATTGTAAGCGCTGAAAGTGCCGATCTTGTGAGAAAGAACAAGAAAAAGAGTGGCAGATTGAACGAATGACGAAAGCGGGTGAAAGGGTAGGCGTGTGTTCGTTTTTTTTGCCACGACGCGTTAACGTTGTTAGGTCACTTATCAACTTTATCACCTTTTTTTTATACATCGCACGTTACCTGTTGTTTATTTTCGCGTGAAATAAGGCTGGCAAAGACTAGGCAACGACCCTGCGAGTTATATACTCCGTTTCACCTTATGGTAAACCGCAGAGGGCGCTTCGAGCCATCGAAGCGAATAGCAAGCCGCGTAGGTGTCACATGACCTTCTGGAAGGACGCAGCGACGTGCGAGGCGCGTAGCCGCTGTGAACCATCGTAAGGGAAAAGTCGCTGCGAGACACGTAGTCGCACTATGTGTTTACAGCGTTGGTTTGGCACCAATCCTGTGAACCATTCTAAGGGGAAAAAAGGAAAAAAAGAAGTCTTGCTTGTTTTCTTTTGTGTGTCTCTGTGTGTGTGTGTGTGGGGGGGGGGGGGGGGGGGGGGGCGGTTCAATGCTTTGCCAGCATTTTGGGTTTATTGAGAGCGCCGATGACAACCTGGTCCGGCCTAGAATTATGGGACGTTGGTTATATTGCCCTTTTTATCTAGATTTATCATATTAAATTTATAGTATTTTCCTAGAAAAGCGGCTCATCCGGTTTGTACCTCCGGTGTGTAGTGTCATGTGTGATTTTTTTTCGCTTGAGTATATCTATTTGGAAGTATATAGAATACCCAATCACTGCAGTAATCCGTGCTTCTGTCTCTGTTGATGTTTGGTTTTTTTTTTAACTATGCTGTCTTTCCATTAAAATGTGTAATGGCGTCAGGACCTCGTCAATCTGCAACAGTAACGTTTAGTCCTGGCTTCCCCTTTTCAGTAAACGCCCCCTTTCGCCAGATAAAAAACAATATTAATATGGTTTTCTCAGCTCATCGCTTTGTAGCATAGATGACGGAAGCACGGAGATTGTACTTGGGAGTACTTATTCATTAACACGACAAACGATGGTGATCAGTGAACGGCGTTCACACTTCAAATTTTTCTCGTAAATTAAAAAAAAAAAAAAAAGTTTTTTTTTTCTAGTAAATTTTTACCGATATTTGGCCGCATAACGTAAAGCCGCTTTACGTTATGCGGCCAAATATCGGTAAAAATTTACTAGAAAAAAAAAACTTTTTTTTTTTTAATTTACGAGAAAAATTTGAAGTGTGAACGCCGTTCACTGATCACCATCGTTTGTCGTGTTAATGAATAAGTACTCCCAAGTACAATCTCCGTGCTTCCGTCATCTATGCTACAAAGCGATGAGCTGAGAAAACCATATTAATATTGTTTTTTATTTGGCGAAAGGGGGCCACAACCAGTCTTGGGCAGTAACTAGTTACTAGTAACGCGTTACCGGTAACTAGTTACTTTTTTCGGTAACTTTTAACTGTAACGCGTTACTCTTTAATACTGGTAACTTGTAACTGTAACACTGTTACTTTTTTATTGGGTAACTGTAACTGTTTAGGCCGTTACAGTTACTTTTTACTATAAAATTAAAATTCCTGGCTGACAAAAAAAAAAGAAATTGAACAAACAAAAAAAATTGCCTCGTTTTGCCCACGACGGACCATAGACGAGACGGACGAGCGAGCACGAAACCGGGAGATTAAGGAAGCGGCGCCTGCGGTGGTAGGGGAGGCAAACAATGTGTGTTTCACCGACTTTGGCTCAATCTTCTTCTGTGGGGACCGTCTGCGGGTGTCGGTGGTCATGCGACATGTCTCCGAGTATTCCGTCTGGGCTGTGTCTGCCCTTCCCCCTCTCCCTTCCTCTTTGTCAGATATGTCCGCGCTGTACGTCGCTTTTACACCCAGCCGGTCGCCGCTCCCTCTTCGCTATGAGTTTCCAAGGAAGCCGTCCCCATATTAGGCGGAAAGTCGGCGCTTGTTTAACTTATTCTTTCTCTTCGGAACCGCTCGAGTAAATTGCCTTTCCCGCTGACAGCCCCAAGAAATACTCCAATAGACGTTTTGTTGTGGATTCTCTGCAGTGCTCCAGCTGAAGCGATTACCCGGAAAACACGTGTTTTTAAGAGAGAGAAATTGCTGTTTTGAGGCGCGTGTGCGGACTGATCTGACCGGGCTCTCAAGGTTCCCCATGATAAAGAGGATCTTCATCAGGCTCAACACGGGGATTCCGTCAAGCGCGCCGGCTGAACGCCTGTTCAGCAAAGGACGCGATGTGTTCGCCATCAAGAGAGGGAAGCTCTCCGATGACAATTTTGAAAAACAGTTGATATTAAGTTATAACAAATATTGCAAATAAGTTATAATCGTTAAAATTCTGAAACGACGAATGACACAAAAAAGAAGCACCCTTCGGTTTTAATGTTTTCTAATTTCTCAGCAGTTCATCTTTCTTCTCACTACAGTGTAACAAATAAAATATTTTTTTTGGTTTATGGTTTCTTGTGTCCAATTTTGGTACTGTAACGAGAAAGTAACGGCGTTACTCTTTCTGCGGTAACTGTAACTGTAACACGTTACTTTTTTAATCCGATAACTGTAACTGTAACAGAGTTACTTTTTCCCCCTAGGTAACTGTAACTGTAACACTGTTACTTTTTACTGGTAACGTGCCCATGACTGGCCACAACATCCTAAAAAAATGCTTTGCGCTCCGGCTTCACCGCAGAACAGTTGTTGAACCCATCACTTTGATCACCGTAGATAACGACTTCAAGAAACAAAATTCCCGATAAAAATGCAGTTTCTCTTGTGGCCCTCGTAATGACATTTTTGAGTATATTAAACACCAGGCTCAGTGTTACATCGCAGATTTCATTTTCGGCGAAGACGTTTCTCCGGAATCGTCATTCGTCCAGGTCCCCCCTCCCTTAGGATTCCAGCGATTGTCTCTGTCAAGGGATATACTGGAAACTACGGGAATAATTTTACTTGCGCAGTCTCAGCAGAAGACTCTGCGCACATGCTGCACCACAACCCAACCAGGATATTAATTATTGGTCTCAGTTTAATCATATCGGTCAGTGAGAAGGTCACTGGGAATGTACGGGACATTAAAGTTCGACCCCTATTGCCTTTCTCACTGATCAAACTGACTAAAAAGAAGGAAGGAAAAAGGACGTATTTTGACTTAACCCTAGTGGCAGACCTTTTGTTTGTTTGTTTGAGGGCAAAGGGAAAAGGGAAAGCCAGGAGGTATGTGGTCTCCATTGACGGACCATAGTCACTGAGGACTTAAGAAGCGCAGGGTGTGGCTTACTTATTACGTTTCAAAGCTTCTTGCTTTATTATTGGTTCTTTGGCGTTGTCATCAGCAAATGCCGCAATCTCATTGGCTGCTGAGCGAAAATAAAATGCTCGGTGCTCTCCACGCCCTCAGCTTCCTACGCCTTCAGTGGCTATAGTCGCTACCGGGATTTTATAGAAGAAGGGTAAATTTTGAGACAAGGGAAATTGTAATTCCAATTTAAAACAAAGACTGGTTGTTTGAGACAGTTCAGAGTTCCTCAGATGATTGATGAGAAGATTTCCGTCGAAGAGACACGTAGCTTACATGGTCCAGGTTCATTGGTGCGTTGTAACGGTGTGACGTCTTGGATCGCGGTCTGCCTTTAATCCATGCGTCACAAGGATAGCGCATGAATAATAGCCTGAAAAGCTTTCTCCGCTGCACCCCGGACATCCTTCTGGGTTTAGAAGTTCCCTGACTGTTGCACGTGGCAGTCCGGCGAGTACGTAGTACTGATGTACGCCTGGGAGTGCGTAGCATGAGAAAGGAATCGGTTCCCTGTTCACTCACTGGTGACGTGACGCGCGTTTGGTGTTCATCTTATTTTTTTTTTCCCTTCAGGCACGTGCACGCATCAGATCAGTGCCCCGCTGGGCGAGATCAACAGTCCCAACTACCCGGACTCGTACCCGAGCAGGAAGGACTGCGCCTGGCTCTTCACCACCACGCCTGGTCACAGGCTCAAGCTGGTGAGGGCGGGCCCTCCTTGAACTTACGTGCGCTCTCACTTCACACGGATGCACGGGCTTCTTCGAAAACAATGGCGATGCCAAACTCTCCGCATTTGAACGTGAACATTTGACAGAAATTTTTCTGGTTGGGGAAAATATTAATTAAAAAGATGCTTCGATGGCCGTCGCCTTGGTAAATCCCTGAAGAAGAGGCCGAGAGGGCCTCGGCCTCTTCTGTCATTACATACAAGAGAGACGTCTCGAACGTTGAGCCTCGAAACGTTGGGCCTCGAAACGTTGGGCCTCGAAGCGGTGAGTCCGTTGTAGATCTTGGTTGCACGTCCCGTTTTCAGCCAAACTCTGTTTCCCAAAACGATTTACAATGGGCTCATTCGATTTTATCTGCACCAGCCTGCACTTGTGCAGAATAGTGTAGCACGATGCAGAAAAGTGCAGGGCAATGCACGTCTTGTTGTGTTTCGAAATAGGCAGCACTCGTAAATCGAATACGGCGGTGTGCACCAGGTGCATGAGGTGCAGGTACATCGATTGAGTCCAGCGTTTGTTTCACCGCAACATATAAGCTACGCATGGCAGAACGCTCAGTGTCCGCTCAAGTGTGATGATAGCCGTCCGACCAGATGCCAAAGTTTTGTTGCAGGCCTTTTTCATATTCGATAGTCAAAGGTGAATTTCTGAAATTTTCAATGGAAAAACAAGGCCCGTTCCCGATATAACCGATGCCATTCATCTGCACGTACTCGTGGGCTTGTGGCGCGCGCGTGTTAGCACGCTCGCGCCACTAGCTTTGTAGCGTTGCATACTGTATGCACGTAACGATGTACAGGTAGGTGTCTTTTGCAATTGGCTAATCCACCTGTGCCCCGTGCATGGACCGAGTCTTAAGTTGCAAATAAATATATCGTATCAGTAACTTACTTTAGGCTGGCCACGTGATCCGGGTGCTGTTATAAATCTGTAGAGGACTATGGCTCTCAATTCAGCCCGTCGAATCGCTGCTCTAAAAGTCGAATTTAGACTCGAATTCAGAGTTGAATTTAGAGGTTGGCAAGCGACTTTCAACAACACTTCCAAAACGTTCATTCCGCGACGTGAAGACTGTCGTTCTTGGCAGGCGATCATAGTCGATATTTCTGAGCGTGCACTGCGAACAGCCCTTAAGCCACGGTCACACTGCCAATACATCACACGGTCTGCAGGCATAATAGGGAGTTTTAGGGAACCGTTTTTGCACATCCGATGCGGTACGTTGGGCCTTCCGGTACGAACTGCGCATGCGCGAGTCTTGTGTGGTGGCGCATGCGCAGTTCGTACCGGAGGGCTCATCGTATGATGGGTCCTCCGGTACGGTCCTGTATGACCGTCCTGTCATATCGGTCAATAAAAAAAAAACTGTCTGCATAAAAGTTCCAAGCATGTATGATGTTTTGAACATGCTTGAGGCGTGTGGCCGCAGACATTTTCTGTCGTCGTATCCGCAGCGTATGACGTACGACAAGCGGCGCAACTACGTGGCTTTATGTCCACCAACGTCGATGTCGCTGCCGGCTTTTCTCGGGTCTGTGTACTTATGGCGGCGGGACAGTTCAGCGTTTCCCCGTTTTGGTGACGTCGACGGCGACCCTCCCGTCTGTGCAGATCTTCAACGACTTCGAGCTCGAGCCTCACCAGGAGTGCGCGTACGACCACATCTCCCTGTACGACGGCGACAGCACAGACGCCCCGACGCTGGGCCGCTTCTGCGGGGCCAAGGTGCCCCACCCCATCCTCTCCACCACTAACCGCATGTACATGGTAAGGGAAGCGCCTGTTTACCTGACACCAGCGTGCTTCTTTTTTTTATTTTTTTTTTGCTTTTTTATCAAATACCGCGAGACCAATGTTGTTGTAGCACTTACAAAATGAATAAATGACAAAATACACCATCTTACGTATTATATGCAGTATTGTTCGCATGTGCGGTTGTAACATACGACAACATCAGATCTATAAAAACGAGCAGTTTGTATTTTTTTTTTTCTTTTTGCCATCGCTACACAAGCAAGGTTAAATTACGACTGCCTCTTATCAGCTCGCACACTCGTTGTTGTCTACGAGAGTTTTTTTTCCCCTTTACCCAACGAGACCAGCGAAAGATCTGGATGGATTAATCACTTGTTATCTTCTCTTAATAGTCTGATGAAAATAATCCCTGGAGAAGGGGAACAAGAGGGACAAAAGACAAACACAAATCTCCAAACACAGCGAGGTGACTGGTTGCGACCGAAAAAATCCGCCTGGTCCGGGTATCGAACCCGGGACCTCTCCATTACAGGTGGAGTGCTCTACCAACTGAGCTAACCAGGGGTTAGCTCAGCGGGTTCGATACCCGGACCAGGCGGATTTTTTCGGTCGCAACCAGTCACCTAGCTGTGTTTGGAGATTTGTGTTTGTCTTTTGTCCCTCTTGTTCCCCTTCTCCAGGGATTATTTTCATCATTCTTGTCCAGCTTCGCTTGCACCTTTGCATTTAATTGCATTATAATCTTAATAGTCTGTTGTTTCGAAACCCCATCAAGCAACATTGGCAATCGCCACTTCTTGGGTGCGAAGCGTGTGATTGGATCCGAGTCCTCGCCGAACGCTGACGTCACACTCGTGTCCAATACATGCTCAGGGTATCTGATAAGGCATTGCCGAACTCAGATAATTTGCGGAGTAGCTACTAGATGGCGCGCAAATTTTGAAGAAAAAAAAAGTAGTATAAAATACAAAAAAAAAATATTTCCGCGCTCTTTTTTTTTATTTTTGTAAAACATCGGCTTTACATTACGACGGCGCCGACCCGGCTATTTGGTCCGAACTCCACGTCTAGCGTTCGTTTCGCGCACTGTCTAAACACGACCCCACAGTCGAGCGCTAACGCGGCACTGGTGCCCGATCTGCGTGCGTGCTCAGTCGTATACTGTAACAACGTCAGAATTCTGACGCACTGTCCTTTCTAGCTTATGCTCACTGACAGGCTGAAAACGACAGGGACGAGTTTCCGTCGTTCCTCCTCCAGCACGAGCTTTGCACCTTCGCTAACGTTTCAACGTCTCACGAGTTTCGAGTGTGCACGCGAGCAGCCAAACACGTCGGAAAGCAAAGACCGTGTGCTGGATTTCGGAGCGCAAGTTCGTCTGCTTCTTGCAGATGGGTTGCGACGATGTCAGAACGCCGAGCTCTTATTGGCTGATTGAAAGAAAAAAAAAAATAGTGGGTAGACCTCAAGGCGTCCAGCGTTGAGGTTTACTCGCTATCCTTTCAATCAAAACCAATCAGAGCTCGACATCTTTCTGACGTCACCGCAACTCCTGCGCAGGAAGCAGACCACTCGCTTTCCGTATGCCACCTAGAAGACATGGCCAGCGCGTCTGGCAGCGTCTCACGTCGACTGCGACGCCAATTAGCAGGCGACGCCAATAAGGACGCGTCTGCTTGCTTGGCGGCGTCTCTCGTCGACCTTCAGCGAGTTCGCTGCTTCGGGCGGGTCCACTAATGATGACGTCATCCGGAGGCCTCGTCTTTTCGGAGGCCGCCTGTCGAGATGTTCGTTGCGTAATGTGACACGCTCTGTTTCTTTCCCCGCGACGCGTAGGTGTTCAAAAGCGATGCGTCGGTGCAGCGCAAGGGCTTCAGGGCGGCCCACTCGACGGCGTGCGGAGGGCGGCTGCTGGCGACCGGGCGCACCGTGGAGCACCTGTACTCCCACGCCAAGTACGGCGACCAGAACTACGAGAACAAGGAGGACTGCGACTGGCTCGTGGAGGCCGAGGCCGGCCGCGTGCGCCTGCGCTTCCTCACCTTCGAGCTGGAGCACGAGCAGGACTGCAGCTACGACTACGTCGAGCTCTTCGACGGCTACGACGACTCCGCCATGCCGCTGGGAAAGTTCTGCGGGAACCAGGTGCGGTTCCTTACAGCTCTCTTAAAGGAGTGTCCAAACGGGATACTTCAGAAATCGTGAGGCGACACAACTTCGTCATACATATATGTCGTGGGGATTCCGCTTCCGTCCGTACTTTTTTTTCTTTTTATTTAGCCGGTGAAACCTTTTTTTTTAAGTTTGTTTGTGCCCTTTACGGGGGCCTTGAGCATGCTGATCACGTGGGTCCGGACAGCCACTTACACGCTCAGTTGGCTGTCGGTCAATCGCTCAAGGCCCCCGCTGCTGTTCACGTCCCGAAAACAGGAAAGGGAAGAATACGCTGTTGCGCGGCAGAACAGATGGACAAGCAACAGGCACGCCATTGGCAGGTGGCGTGTGACGTGAAATCTGACGAGCACCGAGCTCACCGAAAAGTCGAGAAGGCGAGGAGGAAAGTCGTGGTGTTTGCCCGGTGGTATCTCTAAACAGAAATCAGACTGCCAAACTTCAACTTCCACTTCGTACGACGGAGTGATGTCGCCTCACGATTTCTGAAGCGTCCTGTTTAGGCAGCCCTTTATACTGTACTCTGAGAAAGTAGGAGAAACGAAATATGGAGTTGAGGAAAGTCAAGATCATCTTTGTGCAAGGGGGTTAAAGAAATAATATTCTCTTTGTGGATGTCGGGGTAGTAGGTACAACTCTCTAGCAAGGGAGTCAAGAGACGCAAAACGCCCTCTTATACAGAGAACGTATAAGGAGTCTGCGGGGAGCGGATCAGAGACTTACTGCTGTGGCGAGAGGAGGAGAGAAGAAGGCGAGACATTTCTGTAGGTCGGTTTTTAAGGACTGTGAAGTGAGCTACCCGAGCTGACTACATCTCCTCATATACGGAAACCACTTTATTATATTATTTATATATTATTATATTATATTAAAAATAATTTATAAAAATATTATAAATTATTTTTATTATATTTTTTTTTTATTGAAGAAGAAGAGGTTCTTCTGCTCACATGGTAGACTGGTCAGAGGATGCGCGCTAGCATGTACGGCAAGCAATTATCTTGTGGTTGTTTATATGTACAACGTGCGTTAACACCTTCTTTTGTGGCTCTTTCCATAGCTTCCCGGCGAGTTCACGTCGAGTTCGGGGTCGCTGCTGCTGCGGTTCCGCTCGGATGACAACATCAACGCCAAGGGATTCTCGGCGGCCTACTCGGCCGTCGACGTCGGCGAAGACTCCGCCACCGCCGCCGTGCCCTCCGTGCCCGAAGTCCGCACGGTGTCGTCGTCCCACCAACGCGATCGAAAGCTCAGACTCCATCGCCATTGAACCACCCACGCTGGCGCCACCTAAATCCTTCGGACAGAGACAGAAAAAGAGAAGAAAAGAAAAGAAATGGGAGGACAGAAACGAGGGACCGAAGTTTTGTCTCCTGCGACGACAGAGTCCTTCCATACATCCTTCCTTCCTTCCTTCTGTGTGTCACCTGTCGACTTTTGGAAAGTTTTTGCATGCCATATCGTGAATTCACGATTTCCCGAGGAAAAAAAAAAGTGATATATGAACGGTAACGACGAAGCATCGGTGATGACTTTGCGCGCGCGTTTGTATGAAACCGTCCGCGCGTTGTCGGAATATTGCTTGCTGTAAACCGCGATGCTATTTTTGTCTTCTCTGCGGGATTTGTAGAATAGGAGCCGGTAAGGTACCGCCATCAAAACGCGCGGCTCCTCCGCTTAGCAAACGTGAAAAAGAAAAACAACAAAAAACACAAAAACGTATGTTTACCAACATCTATCACGTCTGTCTAAAGGAAGTGTTCACCCATCACTAATATTCGTTTTCTTACCGAATCATTGACAAAGAAAAAAAAAAGCTACAACAGCGCCATACATGTGTAGTTGTGTAAAAGTGTCGTTAGCTGATGAGAGAAAAAGAAAAGAAGGGGGAAAAAAAGAGGTGATGCTTTGGTGCTTTTGTTTTTGTCTCGTTAGAAATTTGTAAGTAACGATGTTTGTATGCGATATTTCCGAAAGCAATTATTCGTTTCGAAACATCGGGCGAAACCGTCGGCGTCATTGGGGCCACGGTAACCGCATAGTGACGTCCCAAAATGATGCGAGCGAATAATATAAAGAGCTTGCGTACATATCAGCGCGGCCCTGCTCGACTGCTTCAGGCCATTACGTTCTATAGCAGAGCCATGTCATCTTTAAATAAGTAAACTATGTTGTTCTTTTTGTTTCAATATTTTTGTACATACACGTTAACTTTGAGTATTGAGAAGTGGTGCTAGAAACCCACGCTACATAGTCTTGTTTGTATCTTTGTTTCTGTTATTTTTTATTTTTTTTGTAAAAAGAATAGCGTTGCCAATGTATGCTGTAGTGATCCTGTTGTTATCAAAAACTTATTTTGCGGGGCTTGCTGCGCGCTGCACAATCGTACCGAGCTATTTGTACTTAGTGTCTTTTATTTTATTTTATTTTTGCTTGAGTAGAGCGCTTGGGTTTGCCTTTGTCTGCGACATGTCATTTTGCGCCGAAAAGAGAAGTGTAATGTTGGCGTAAACTGAACGATTGAAAGATAGAGAAGGCGGTGAAAGAGTAAATGGGCAGTGATCCTATGCTAATAAAGCGTCAGTGTACAAGATCTATTATATCCGTAACGCGGTCCAAGACTTATGTAGGGTTCATCATTTACTGAACACAGCACACACATATCAACGTCCTACATGAAACCTCCGCTGAACGATAAATAGGAGCTGCGCTCGCTCGATCAAATGGAGACAGAAGCCAATTTGACGAATGCTTTAAGTATTCTCGAGTACAGGTACTCCAGATGAGTCGACGATGCCCTCTAGCGACGAACATGTGAAGCCGGCAGCTCACGCCAGTCACGCATGTTCGCACCTATTGGAACCTGCAGCTTGGGGTGGCGCGGCCCCTCTAGCGACGAACATGTGAAGCCGGCAGCTCACGCCAGTCACGCATGTTCGCACCTATTGAAACCTGCAGCTTGAGGTGGCGCCGCCCTGGCGACGAAAGTGTCGAACAGATGAATGTGGACAGAAAAATCAGGCGCAAATCTATCGTCCACGAAATTATCGCTTCTGAGAAGGTTTGTGTTGTGCCAGAGGACCTAGGGTAGGTTTACGTATCCATATATATGTTAAAAAAAAAAAAAAGAAGGATATACTTCCGGTGACGTCATATTTGTTTGAAAGCCTGTTAACACTTCCGCTGAAATTTTTTTGGGCTTGTGATAGCCGTGCCAAAGGTGCCCATGCGTCGTCGGCCAAAAATAAACAAGGACGACCCGTCACAAGTTATGATGTAACCCAAGATGGCGTATCGTACAGCACCAAACCCGGTAAATATTATACCGACATCCTCTGTCGCGATCCTGATGTATATTTAAAGGCGAAAGCTAACGTCAGTAATGTTTCCAGCACTGCACACACATAGTTCCGCGAATGGAGAAAGTAAAATACATATCTAACTTTTTTTTTTCCTTATGTTTGTTAAACGGGCGATGGAAAACAGCGCTAAAAATCGACACAAGAAGGGGCTAGCAAACGGCTTTCCGTCTTGTGTCGGCATCTTTATACGCGGGCTTTCCTGATCGTGTGCGTCAATCAACCATTAGCCTAGATGTTCGTTTCTTTTGGCAGCAAATATTGGATACGACGAGTGTTAGCACTTTGTCGGGTTTTTGTTTCCGATTTGCGTAGCTCCGCGCTCATGAATTGCCGCTGCACATTCTTTGTTTTAATGAGGAAATTCTCGCGTTGTGTGTGCGGAATGTAGGACTGTAATACGTTAATTACTTTACGAAGCTGGCGTTTTTTGGGGCATTATGTGTTGCTTTGTCTGCGTCTAGAAAATCGTATAGGAGTATCTTTTTTTTTTCTACATACTGAAATAAAAAAAAAAATTGCGCAGTTCTGAGTGAACCATTGTTGTGTAACCTTTCTGTTTTTTGGATGGTGCCGAATAATGGCGAGCATTTAGTAACAAAATTCGGTTCTAGGTATCAAAATTATACTGTATAAACAATCGCGTAATCAATTGTACAGTAAACCAAACCGGTCAAGAGACCTTCACGGGATTCGTGCAGTGTTGGGTAATATCGTCAAAATAAATTAATTCAACGCAAAAAAAAAAAAGAAATTAAAAAGAACAAATTCACTGATGCCGCTCGCTCGTGCGAACGAGTCAGGTTTGATCGAAACCCAGAAAGCTGGCGCCATCTATCGGCACAGAACGAAAGCTTTCGATCGGAGCTGCGAGAAAGCGCGGAATCTCTTTGAATGTACGAGCCCCCGCTGGGGGCGTGGTTGGTTGGGAGCACGAGTTGGGAGAGTAACCAAATGAGATTGAATGAATAATAAAGAAAGTAAAAGTATCAACTGCGTGTCGTGGTTTCTTCCAGTTCACTGCGCGACACAGCTATACTTCGTTTACCCCTAGGCTGAGATTGCGGTGGAAGCTACATCCTTGTGGAACAAGTCTTAGCGTCATTGGCCTCTCTTTCGCGACGTGATCGAGATCTCACCCATACCCAGAAGCAGAGAGCCCGGTCAGGCGATGAAAGGGTGGCGACTGATTGGTTCGGCGGGCATGTAGCTCCCTCCGAAGTCTCAGTTTAGGCGTGAACATAACTCCAGCACTTTTTAGCATTTTACTCAGACGGAGTAGTGAAAAACGCAAACTTCAGCTGTATAACTTAGTTCCCCGGATGAGCGCATGCCACCACATTAGTAGTATTAACAAGACCACTTTTTCTTGTAAAAAAACAACAAATCAGTTGAAACCATCGATCGCCGGTTCGCGGGACGTTGCGCTATGTAATGCTTAGGTAATGGCCCAAAATAGAACTTCCCAACACACTTAAAGTTTCGAAACATTCATTTAGAGGAGAAGAACAATAAAACAAAACCGGAAATTCCCCGTTCACGCTAAACGCGTAGCGCCATGTACTTATATGTGCATGTCTCTCAAATGCACCCCACAGTCTTGATCCCGAGCACCCTAGAGCATGCGCGGACGCTAATTCACTTCAAGGAATTACATTTCTGTAATTTATTCACAGAAGTGGTTGGGAGACGACATTAATTACAGCATTTATTTATTCGTTCAACGTATACACTCACGAGTAATTTGCGATTCCCGACCCCGAAACCGAATATAACTTTTCGCTATCCGGATTATAAAACTGGAAATCTCATTCGATTCTATCTGAATTTCAGGTTTTCCGATATTATTCCCTTTTCTGCAATCAGGGTTCCAGGTTTCCAGACAGAATCCAATAAGATCTGCAGTTCTATAATCCAGATTGCAAAAAGTTACATGGGTTTCGGGGAGAAGAGTTGTAATTCCTAACTTTCAACTATAGTTTGTCACATTTAACCCCGAGAGCCAACACAAGCGTCGCTGCGGTCGCCGCGCCCTGATTGGGCGAAGTGTACCGTGATGTCAGGGGAAGGACTCCGCTCCGCGATCTCCGCATCCGGCTCGCTTCCCTGCACCGGTTTTCTGGTTTGGCGTTGTGTGCCGCAAGCACTTCGAGGAGCGGGATCTGGTTTACCCGCTGTACAAGTCGCTGGGTTAGGACAACATTGGCATGCTTCCGTACATTTTATAAGCCTGCTTGTCACGTTTACCTTTATAATTGGGCTACAAATCCTGAAAGCTATCGGCGGTGGCAATTCCACCGATAAACCTCCCCGACCGTCCACACGACACAAGGCACTCTTGCGAAGGGTCGGTAAGTGTTTCAGACGCTGGAATTCTGTTCCTTGAATGTTCATGATTTGGGAGAATATTACATCCGGCTTTGTATGCCTTTGAAATTGAATTTACATCAAGGGCCTTTGGGTGGTCGGCAAATCAGCTCGCGACCCCGACTCTGCGCGTGCCACTCTGCATGTGCTGGTTCGCAGGTGTTTTGTAGGCCCTGGGTCTGGAGGCCTTTGAAGTACTCGTGGTACAGGATTGGTGTAGATAAATGTAGCCCCTTCGTGAATTAATGATATAGTTTAGGGGTGGCCAAGCTGCGGCTCTTTGCGTGTTGAAGCGCGGCTCGGGGCTCCCTCCCCTACCACCTTCCCCCCCCCCCCCTCCCCCTCTTCCCCACCTCCCTCCCGGTCAGACCAGCATTTCTTTAAAAAGAGAAATGGAACGCGTTTTAAATCGAAAGACAGGTTGCGGTTTGGCAGCCTTGTGCTGCTGTTACCTTACGTACAAATGGACTCCTTTGACTCGGATAGATTGAAAGCAGTTCGAGTTTCGTTTATTGCTCTGAACAAAAGTTCAGAGCAATAAACGCTCTGAACTCTTGCTCTTGGAAGTTTCGTGGCTTTGTTTGCGGCTCTTAGGTCAGGTCAATCTGGCCACCCCAGATATAGTTCATACACGTATTCAGGCATGTTTTATTTATAGAACATGCCCAATTATTGGCAATTAATTTGTATAGTAGCAGTAAAAACTGCCGAATTGCCCCCAGTTGCCTGTATGAGATGCACTGAACTGCCCAAAATATGCACAGCAATAGAACTGTAATTTTGAATGTTTATCCTTTTTTCTGACATCCTTTCTCTATTCCAGCCTTGGGTATTCGGAAAATACACCGTTTAGTTTGGATTGTCATTTCCAATTAAAAAAGACACTGCTGCGAGTCCCCAAAAGGAGCCTCAGCCTCCAAACTCCCTACAGCTGGACTCTCTGATAACAGAGGAAAACAGGAGGAACAGCAAGCATTTGAACTGCTCTCCAGTAGTAGATGCTGCACTAGTAGAAGAAAATGTGGAACCTGGGAAGGGTGACAGTCTGCGTGAGAAAAGCTTCTGGTATTTTAGCTTCAGGACAGTTTGATTTAGTTAAAATCTCAAATATACAGCCTAAGGGACTAATAACGGGTTAGACACCTTCGCTTACGTTTGTCGTGTTTTACTTGAGGGGTGATATAAACAATTCCGCAGATACCACCAGGGGAGTCCATTGAAATACTATTCAAAGGTCAAATGTGAGCAATGCATATAAATAAATGTTCCTTCTTTCTTTACTTTGCCCCTGTACCTGTGCTGTCTCACTTGTGATTCTCTCTCCATGCCCCAGACTATAGTTAACATGTTGCTCGAACAGCATGCAGCTTTTCTGCTTCGGCGATCTTGTTTAAAAACAGAGATAGAAAAAAAAGTATACATAACCTGCCAATTCATTCATACCATAAGCAGCATTTATTGTGTGAAATGTAAATCTATAGTGATGCTCCTGCAATTGTGGCCTTATTTCTTTACTTTCATATACCAGCTGCAATTCATGCGTTGCCTGCCCCGTCAACCATGTCTTAAATGTTGGTTGAAGTTTCGCCTAGAGCTACAGGCCATATATCAATAACGCCACATATGAAAATTTACACCTCCTTCAAAAAACACGCACGAAAGATTAAATAGAAACGAGCGCGCCGTCAGCTAACTTCGTCACAGCCTCCACAGGGCGAGTGGGGCGAGTCGGGGAAAAATTCTGTCCTCGCCGTGACGTCACCCCGGTTCGCCGTAAGGGGGCGCCACGCGAAATTCTCGGGCATAAATCCGTCACAGCGCGCGTTGCATTCTGGGAACCTGTGGGCCAGCAGGAACGGAGCGCGTATAGATTTGGCTTCCCACTGATTCCCAGAGTGCATAACGTGGCATTACGCCGCCGCGATGAGGCGTTTCCAGTTTTGGAATAAGTCTATTTAAGAAACGCGCCGGGCGTACCGAGTTCCGGGCACCCTATTGCCCCTCCACAGTCGATGAGATTGCCACATTAGCCGACAAGGACTCCGAAGAAGAAACGACGAAGCAAAAATCATGGACGTGATGAGCTGCGCCCAGGCTGTCTGGGACTATATAGAGACCAACTCAACTCGCTGACTTCACGCCACGGCGGTGGCGCTGCTGTCGGTACTGCGCATGCGCTTCACTCTTGCAGAATTCGGTTTCAGCGCATGCGCAGTGCCCACACCTGGTGTGGACAAAGCGAGCCTATTTGTAAGCACTGCGTTGATGGATAAGAGTAGTTCACTCGTTCTCCAATTAGCTTTTGACACCAGTAAGTGCCAAAGCTGCGTTCCGCTTCGTTTCATCAATTTATTTATTCGGTGAACCCTTTAGCGCCTGGAAAGCCGGACACAATTGGAAAGGTACGTTGACAAAAACAGCATGCAAGGAACAAAATAGAAGGACAAGTTGAAAGATAAGGACTATAATTGGGGGACAACTTTAGGGGCAACGCGGTCAAATTGGTACGGGACCGTCAAAATAGCCAAAAAAAGCTCTGGATGGGCACTCCTCTTCAGAAATGCAACAGAAACTTGTCCCAAACAGTGTAGAAGCATCAGAAATTATCTTAATGCAGCACTACAGGTGATAAAAAGTGGTTAAAAAAGGTGTGAGCATTGTCAAGTTTGAGCTCGAATCAAATTCGAATCGAATCGAGCCGAACAGTTGTCAAAAATGTGGAATATCGAATCGAATATCAATTATTCAAATTTTTGTCTGCAATGCGCCTACCAAAATAGAAATATATTACTTAGATATAAAAAATACGCCTTTTTGCTATTCATGTTAGCAGCTCGTTGTTCCCCTTGCCGCAGAGCACGAGGGACAAAGCTAGGCTAGCACGAATAAAGACGCCGTGAAAGACCGTGAAACATCTTAAGAAAGTGTCATCCCATCTCCACTCTAAGATATGCTCGTGCGCTTTCTTTCCCGCAGAGCACTCAAACAGCCAACCACTGATAGACGAAGATACAGCCAATTATAACGCTACAAAAGCTAGCGATTAGAATATTAGCCAATATACAATTTAATGCCCCTCCGCTCATTTGTTTCAAACCCGACGGATTTTACCATTTCACTTGGTACGGGATTATAAAGTTGTATTTAAGATACGCAGTATTATAACAACTAATGCGCCTTTACCGTCAACTATATTTTCTCAATCGGGTAGGGTAGCTAGAAATGTGTACGCCAAGAATTTTAACAGTCCATTGTTTCATAATATGGACGATCGAAGAATGATAGAGTGTACCGAAACAAAAATATAAAATTCCTGAAGCACCCCAGAGAAAGCAAAATATTTGAAACTACGCTTAAAAAGATTGAGACAGAGAATATATATATATATATATATTTTTCAAGGCGTTTGCATGGATGTTAGGTAGCTGCCTCATTATTTCTTTTTGTAGATTTGGAATGCATCGTGGACTAAAACCAAGTAAGCTATGGATCCAGATGCGTTTATGCGGTTCCGTGTTTATTTTAAATGTATCTGATTGATTGATTGATTGAATAGATTGGCGAATATACCGACAATACGTTTGGACCTAGGAATAAGGTGACCGCGCTGTGGCACTGAGAACGAC